TGTGTGTGTGTGTGTCTGTGTGTGTGTGTGTCTGTGTGTCTGTGTGTCTGTGTTCATGGGATCTGCTAGCCCTTGTCAGCACTGCCAGCCTGTCCCACAGGATGGAGCCTCTGCTCGGCCTCTTTGCCCTGCTCACAAGCAGGGGAGACTGGAACCACCTTCTTCACCTCTCAGTCTCCAAGCCCAGCACCTGCCACTATCCCTTGGTCCCCAGACTCGGCCCGGCCCCTTCCTCACCGCCTCTCTCTCTCTCTCTCCTCAGCTGATTTCTCACAGGGCCTTCTGTGATGGTTTCTCGCCTTGTCCCTGAGCTCAGTGTGCCATGCTGAAGCAGCCACGAGGCTGGGCTCGTGGGCCAGTTGTCTCAGCCCTGTCCTCTGCATCTTGGAACCTATGGTCCCTTTCCTTTCTGAGGTTCAGTCCCGTAGAATGGAGTAGCTGGCAGGGAGGGAGCACAGGGACAAGTCAGGCTGTCCACAGAGGTCCTGATTCGAGGGTACTGGAGGTGGCAGTCAGCCTGTCACCTTCGTGCCTTCCCAGCCTCTCCCTCTTCCTTCCTTGCCTGCTGGTCCTGGCTCCTTCCTTCCTGGCCCCAGACCTCAGCAAGCCACATTCATGGGGGGAACACCCTGAGTGACTTTGAGGTGTTTCCTGCAGAGCCTCTCACCACTGACCAGGCCGTGGGGGGCGGGGGCAGGAGGCAGCACTACACTGTATTCCCATTCTCACTTCCTTCCTTTCTACCACACACACTCAGAGAAGAAAAACCACAAAAACAAAAACCCCTTGGGAACTACAGCAGGCCACCAGAGTCTCCCACCATCCATCATCAGTCATGGGGAGGGGCAAGACCGGCCTGCCTTGTGACATTGTCAGTCTGAGCCGGAGGCTGGGCAGGAGTGGTCCTGGCCACCGAGATACACACAGACTGCAGGTGCTGATAGCGGAGTCCACGGTGCTCCAGGGGCGGCCCTGCTTTGCAATGGCTAAGTGTCTGGGTAGGAGGCAAGTACCCTGGGTAAGAGCAGCCGGAGCCTCAGCCCAGCCTTCTGTGTCCCACCCATGAAGGGAACTGAAATGTGGACCCCACTCCAATCCCAGGCCACTTATCCCTACGTACTTCTGGACCTAGGAAGCCTGGACCAGACATTGCAAAAACAAACAAACAAAACAAAACAAAAACCCACCACCTACTCACCACTCAAAACATTTGTTAATGTTCATTTGCTTTTGGTTTTTGGGGGACAGTCTCTCACTATATAGGCCCAGATGACCTGGAACTGTATGTAGGGCAGGCTGACCTTATACTCACAGAGATCTGCCTGCCTCTACTTCCCAAGTGCTGGGAATAAAGGCAGGTGTCACCAAGTCCACAGTGTTTTCATTTTTAGCTTTAGCAATGTTATGGCTCGCACCATATTCCCCTAGGTCAAAATTTAAGATGTATGTAAAAGACACAAGATTTAAAAGTCTAATCGCGGGGTTGGGAATGTAGCTCAGTTGGTAGAGCGCTTGGCTAACAAAGCCCTGGGTGCAATCCTCAACACCCCCATAAATCAGATGTGGTGGCACATGCCTGTAATCTGGCATGTGGTGGTCAAGAGTATCATGTAGATCATTCTTGGGAGAGAGCGCCTGGCCAGCCTGGGATAAGACATCCTGCCCCCGCTCCCCCAAAAAGTCACTCTCATTAGGGGGCTTACAAAAATGGTGCTTAGCCAAGGAGCGTCCATGAGAGGTGACATTTCTGTCATCGCTGAGGAAACTGATTCTGCTTAGGGTGACTGAGTTGGAGACTAGGGTGATCCAAAAATCAAGCATTGAGGAACCAAGCTTTCTGAGGGATAGAAGTCACCAGAAAACAAAACTGGAATGCTGGAAAGAAGAAAGGTGGGAGGCTGTTGTTTTTGGGGTGCTCACTTGTGCCATGATACGGCCTGCCTGCTCCCCATGGAGTCGCTCTGTGGTTAAACCCGGCCTCCGGATGCGGACAGCATGAGGAGGAACCCCACTTGTGGACCTGCCTAGTTGTGTGACTCTGGGTTCTGCCTTTCTGTGTAAACCGTGAGGACCACAGGGAAAACACACAGAGACTGTTGCTAAGGAGGGCTTGGCCCATTTGAAACCGCTTCAGGCAGCAGCGGTTATTTCTCGGCAATGTCTCCTTCAAGGCACACTGCCAGCCCTCTGAGCGGAGCCAGCTCCATTCCCAGGATCCTTGAAGGTCACTAATAAGCCACAGATGCAGGTGATGTAGCTCTCTGGGGCCCAGATTGTCCCTAATCCTGAGCCTACTTGACACCGTCTCCTGGGGGCTCCTGGCTATCAGGCAGCGGGTGGATGAGGCACCCACAGACTTGCAGCACCCTGGCCAACTTTGTAAAGCCTGGGATTACCCGGGGAGCTCCTGCCATGTGGTCAGCCTGTGTTATTGATAGGACCACACTCCTCTCGGCTGATTCCTGTAAACCATGCCGTTTCAGAGAAGGGCCCATGGCAGGGAGGGCTTGAAGGAATGGAAACTTTGCTTGCATCACTGCCTGAGAGCTGTTGAGAAAGGCTGGCCAATCTTCTAGCTGGGCTTGGGAAGGAAGCAGCATCCTTGCCTACAGGCAGGGCTGGTGCTTCCAGGAGGCTGCTCTGCACTTCTGAATTGTTCTCCTCTGGAGACGTCCCCAGGAGCCCTGCTTTCTCTCAAGACCACCTGGAAAGGGAGGGGGGACACTGCAACTGTGAGCAGCTTTGAACAGAATTGGGGTGGGGTGCTGACTGGTGAGCGGCCTTTGATGAAGGGCGTGTCATTAAGGTGGCTCCTTGGTTGGCCTGTCTTGGTCACCCTATGATCCCGAGGATGTCAGCAGACCCCAGTCCCTTGCAGCTGATGTCCTGAGCAAGTCACTTCCTCTCCCGGGATGGCTGGGAGAAGAGAGTTAACAGCAGTAACCCCCGCCCTGGTGCCCACTTCTCGGAGACTTACGTTTGCTCGTCTGTCCACGAGAAATGTGGTAGTAGCTCTGGTCAGTGTCATGAATGTATGGGGTATCCCTAGGGAACAAGAGGGTGACCAAGGTCCTAGGTCGGATGATGGCCTGAGAAGTACGACGAGGAAGAAACTTGTCCTGACAGCCAAGGTCGGGCCAGTGGGAAATGCAAGTCATCACAGAAGGGGAAGTGGAGCCAGTGACAGCAGAGGACAGGAAGACACCCTGGAATGCCTTCTTCGTCTTCCTTCCCAGAGGGTCCACTGCACAGCCAGCGTGGCCCGTGTGGCAAGGTGGCCAGCCACTCCAGCTGCTGCAGCCTCTCCCCTTGGCCAGGCTTCCCACACCTACCTGATCCCTCCGCCTGGCTTTGGTACCTGCTGAACGTTGCCCTCAAAGCTACTCCTTCTGCTTTCAGCTTCTCCTTCTGGGAGTTTCCTCAGCTACTTTCTCAGCCAGCCAGGGAATGAAGAGAGAGAAAGTCAGAAATAACCACCTGGTATTAGTCTCTGGCCCCAGCTGGGCTGGCCCTTTGTGTTGCCCATGATACTTTAGTCGACTGAATACGGTAATTGATCGGTGTCCCCAACCCTGTGACAGAACGAAGGACAGTGCCTCCCATCTCCCCATGGGAACTCCTGGCTTTCTTGTGTCTGATCTAAGTCTATCAAGCTGCATTTCAAATATGGAGTAACCCTGGAGGAGCCGTCTAGCAGAAGGCAGATCCATACTGACGGACAGATGGCAGGCCTATTCGAATGTGCCTCAGTTTGCTCATCTGTGGTAAGGGATGGTTAGGCAGTACCTAATTCCTATGGTTATGATGAAATCTATTGATGAACAAAAACCACGTAGAGCCTGGCCTGGCAACTCCAGAGGTCAGAGAAGGTCAACTGTCCACCCACAGGAACTGGAAGCTGAGACCCGAATGGAGCTTTTGAGTTCAGTGTCCCTTGAATCACTATTCACAGCGGCCAATGTAGCCATCGAGGACAACAAAATATGGCCCATCCACAGGACAGAATACAATTAGGATCTTACCAGGCAGAAAATGTTACCCTGACTAATGGTGTCCCTAGGCCTCGAACATCGTGCTAACTAAAGCAAACGACCGTGTGAGAGTGGTCTCTTGGAGAAATGCGGTTTAAAGGCGACCTTTACACATCAGCTCCCAGCCAACCTGTGGCCAAGTCAGTGCTGTGCTTTGAGGGGTGTATGACAATGTGCTCTTTCTGCTCACATGCTGCACATCCAGCCTGCTCGGGATCGACTGGCTTCTAGGGAAAGCATTAGTCAGTCTTACTGTCCTTTGGACGGACAACGTAAAGTCTCGCAGGCTCAGCTTTGGTTATGCTGTTTCCATTATTTCTATTTCTCCGTCACAACGGCTGCAGGACACCACTCCTGGGGACAGATGTCCACCCACCCTAACAGGGAACGGACCAAAGTACAGATCAAGTCCAGCGTGGTGAACCAGTGAACCAGTGACTTTTACTGGGGTTACAGACAGTTGTATGAGTGAGGGGTTACTTACCGGAGCAGAAATGAGTCAAAACAACGGTTATTACCAAAAGCCATCACCAGCAAGGGTGGCGGTTCATACAGTGGGGCCTGGAGCTCTTACGGAACAACCTGCAGGCTGGCCACTCTAGGCTGGAGAGGGCCGTTTTCAGGTAGCTCAGGTGATCCAAGACTCTTTGAGGCAGATCTGGCTGGCCATTTGTTTTTTCTGGGCCATTTGGCTGACCTGATTTCCCCAGGAGGCCCAGCTGCAAGGGTCTTCTAGGCCACTCAGTTTATCTGAGAGTATCACTTAGCAGTTCTTACAGGAGAAGCCTAGTGAATCTGGTCAGTTTCAGGGACTTCCTGAAGCTACTCTGAGTTATTTACTTCCTGTCATAACCAGCTTTGCTGCCTGCTTCACCTCCCTGGAAATGTACTGCGCCCTTAGAGCTTCCCTTCCTGAAGCTTTTAATACTGAGGAAACCGCTATACAACAAACTCACTCATGCGTGCACCCGTTGTGGTGACCAGGTCCAAGACCACGTGCTAGAAGCAGTGAGGCACATTGTAAACAATGTCCTACCTCTCCACAGTGCCTACCCATCCCCCTAAAAATTATGTTGGAAGCAACTTGTGATTATAACTTAATAATACCTGTTTGTGCTTTTGTGTGCTGTTCTGAGATTTTTTTCGCCCTTATGAGACTCCTGTAAAAAATTAAGACCAAAGCCGGGCGTTGGTGGCGCACGCCTTTAATCCCAGCACTTGGGAGGCAGAGTCAGGCGGATCTCTGTGAGTTCGAGGCCAGCCTGGGCTACCAAGTGAGCTCCAGGAAAGGCGCAAAGCTACACAGAGAAACCCTGTCTCGAAAAACCAAAAAAAAAAAAAAAAAAAAAAAAATTAAGACCAAAGTTGCTTATTCCTATTTTCTGCATTTACTGCACTGTTCAGTTTGTAGAGAGAACAGCCTTGATTCAGGACTCCCTTTTTAGATTAGGACTCTTCAGTTAGACTTCTTGTAGACTAGACCTCATTTGGATTGGACTATTAGAACAGGAGAGACCCAGACTACTGGATAAACAGGTCCACTCTTGGCTAAAGACCAAGAGGTAGTCTTTCCCTTTATGTGGCATCACCATACACACACACACACACACACACACACACACACACACACACACACACACACACACACACAAGGGCTGTATCCATCCACTCCTGGGATCCACAGAATGGGGTCACCAGGGGCTCGGGGGTAGAAGGGAATGGGCAGTTGTTGTGTAATGGGGATCATGGTTCGGTTTCGCAGGGCAGGATCATGGTTCCTTGAATCTGGAGAGATGGTTCCATTGTTAAGAGCACCTGCCGCTCTTGCAGAGTACCCCAGCTGTTCCGGAGCAGCCCCACAACTGCCGGAAACTCCAGCGCCAGGGGATCCACTGTCCTCTTCTGCACTGCTGAGCACCTGCACTCATCGCGTCCACACTCACACACACACACACATGCACTACACTTAATATTGATGGCTAGAATGCCCAGCACTGTTAAAACGGTGCATTTTGTGTTATGGATATACTATTTATAAAACATAAAAGGGAGAGCCTGTAGGGTGCAAACCTGTCATCCCAGTCCTCAAGGATATAGAATAGAGGGATTTTGAGTTCAGGCCACCCTGGGCTATAATGATCTTGTCTCAAATAAAAAAAACACCCAAGAGATATAGAATCAGCAGTTGCTGCTTGGGGAGCACGGGGTAACCCTGGGTTGAGTGCGAGCAGTGGGCCATGGCTTGTGGCCGGGTGCTGGCCATCAGGACTTCTGGGCCGGACCAGGAGCCTTTGCTGGCCCAACTCTCAGGCTACAGAGCCGGGACAGCAGCTTTCCAGGCCAGCTGCTCCAGCTGCTCCAGCTGCTTCTCTCCCGTGGGCTCCATCTCTTGGCTGGCCTTTGGGGGACTATTTAGAAGAGTTAACTATCTAGATCCCCGAGGACCACACTGGCTTTTGGCCCTTGACCATCCACATAGCCCGATTTCAACATTTTTGTGTTGGGAATTTCACACAAGACCTTTGACCCTCACCCTAAACTCAGAGAAGTGCTTGGTGTGCCCACACAAGCCAGGTGGCACTGGCTTCTGCCAACCCTGACTCTGCTCTGAGGAAGTTACTGTGGGCATCTTGTGACAAGATTGGCAGTCCAACATCTGTCCCACAGAGCCCAGAGGCTCCGAGCAGATGTGGGTTCTTAAAGGCCTGACTTCTCTCTCTCAACTCAACCTGTGGAGTTCCCCAGCCATTTCCTGACCTGTTTGAAATTAGGAACTGGATGAATAAAGCAGAGGCCGGGTAAACTCTGGTGAGGTTGCACAGTGTGTCACGAGGCAGCCAGAGGCTGGAGGCTAGGACGCCTGGGCTTCTGTTCCTTTTTGTCTTTGGATGTAAGTGTGGATGGGACCCTAAGTTCTTGGTCTCCCCTGGGTGCCCTGTGGAGCAGAGGCAATAACCCCAGCTTGAGCTCTGTGGTGGGGCTCATCTGAAAATGTCACCCATTAGGACCACATGAGACGAGGTGGAGGTGGAGGTGGAGGTGGCTTTTATGTCTGTTTTTTGAGACAGAGTCTCTCTGTGTAGTCTTGGATACCCGGAACTTGCTATGTAGACATGGTGTTGAACTCATAGAGGTCTGTCTGCTCTGCCTCCCCAGTGCTGGGATCAAAGGTGTGCGCAACCACGCCCAGCAACCTCTGTACTTACCTTCTGCAACCTGCCAAGAGACAGGATGGAGGCACATCTTAAACCTGGCACTTGGATGCCTGGTGGTGGGGGCACTCACCTTTAATCCCAGCACTGGGGAGACAGAGGCAGGCGATCTCAGTGGGTTTGAGGCCAGCCTGGTCTACAGAGCAAATTCCAGGAAAGCCAGGGCTACACAGAGAAACCCTGTCTCAAAAAACCAAAACCAAAAAAAAAAACACCAAAACCAAACAATAAAAAAACAAAAACCCAACTGGCACTTGGACAGTGCTTCCCAGGAGGAAGAGGAAGTTCTGAGTTTCCAGGGACAACCCCTAAACATAACCCCCCACTCAGCTGCCCTTCCCTCTCCCTTCAAAGCCCGGCTTAGGCTGGCAGGGGAAGAAGAGAGGACCCAAACAAAAGATGGGGAGGAGCTGAGCTCCAAGTAGAGGCAAAAAAGAAGCTGGTGTCTAGTGGGGGAAATTCCAGAGTGAGCCCATATTCCAGGGGCCAGAAATTCCTAGCGGGTGAAGCATCCCCCTTCCTACACTACAACCCCACCCGCCCCAAGGCAGACCCTGAGAAAAGGCCTGCAGAAGGGAATCCCGAGGATCCGGACCAAACCCAGCCTGAGGAAGCTTGTCAATGGGAGCCCCGAGGAGGCTCAGTGAGGAGCGTCTGTCATCTCTGCCTGTGTGACCTCTAGGTAAAGATGAAGGCTCCTCTAACACAAGGCTTGGTTAATGAGAGGTCCCAGGACCGGCCGTGTGCCCAGCTGCCTTAGGACGCCTCCTCCAGGAAGCTGGCCTTCCAGGCTTCCATAGACTCGAAGGTGCTCAGAGGGGAAAGAGCACGTGGCCGAGGCGTTGAGGTGGTAGTGGGCGCTCCCCACACCTAAGTAGGTGCTGACTGTGTGACGCGGAACAGCGGCTCTGGGCGTGCGCCCCTGCTTGGCAGCCAATCAGAGATCGTCCAAGGACAATGGCCCCGCGTCTAGCGGAACTTGTGGCCCCCGTGATACCCTTCCCTGCGCGCGCGCGCGCGCGCGCACACACACACCCGGGCCACACTCTGGCTAGCTCTGCCACCTTTTTTCCAGGCTGTTGGGATCAGAGAAGCGACCCCGCCCCTCCCTCTCTACCGGCCCCGCCCCGCCCCCAGCTCTGGAATCGGACTGGTCCTTGGCCTCCGCCCGCGGATTTTCCGCGGTTGCGGCTGGTGGGGGAGGCGGAGCCCGGGAGGGGCCGGCGACTATTTCAGGCTGTGCCCCGCCAGGGTCAGGACTAAGGCGTCCTGTCCCGGACACAGTAAGTGACCTCCACCGGCGTGCCCCCGTCCCTGCCGCTCTGTGTAGCGTCCCCTCTGGTCCTGATCCCGAGTCTCCGACAGGACTCCCCGATGGAATGGCCCTGAGTGGCCAAGAAGACGCGGGCGGGATATTCCGAGGTCCCTTGACCTCCAGCACACCCACTGGTAGGGACGTAGAGGTTTTACTCTGAACGCCTCGAGCCAGGGACCAGGTTCCCTGCGGGCAGCACAGGGCTCTCTCCGGAGAAACGCGGGGTGTAGGGACCGGGACAAAAGCTAGGGAATCTCAGGTTCACGATAGGAAGGTCCCAGCACCCGCGGGATTCCCTGCCGCGGTAGTCTCCAGTGGGGCCTGGGCACCGCTCTCCTGTCACCCGACGAAAGAGACAGTAGGTTGCAAGAGAGTCTCTGTGGACCAGGGGCATCTAGGATTAAGGTAGGTGACACCAGCTGCAGGCATTCCACGTGCTTCTGAGCAGGCCCCTTCCTGCCTCAGTGGGTCTAGCTGGGACTGGCGCTTTAAACATCACCCCGTCGCTCCTGCTCTCTGGGGAGCCTGCAGTCACAGGGACACAGGGGACTCACATCTGGTGCCAAGTTCCTGGCTTGTGATCTTGCCACAGCTCCTGAGCAGCACTGTGAGTAGGAGGGCTCATCCCCATTTCACAAATGGCAAAACTGAGGCCTCCCGAGGAAGGGGGTTTAGTCCGAACACTGGTGAGAGGTGTCTCTGAGCCCACAGCTGGTCCTCCCTCTGGTACCAAATAGCCTCTGACTCTGAAGGGCAGCTGGGGCCAGACACTCAGGTTGGGGCTGTAGCTCCATCAGCCAGACCAGCCTTTCCGGTTGTCTGTCACGCAAATAGGATAGGTTGGCACAGGCCCTAAACACTGCATGGCCCCGAGTGGAATTCTCGGGCCTCGTGAGGTTAAGAGGAGAAGGGTCTGTCTGTTGAGGGTACCTGGGGAGGATGATAAGAGCTGGGGTGGAGGAGGCCAGGCTTCCTGTCTAATCAGGGTGCTCTACCCATGCCCCAGTTATGGGACCAGGCCCTCAGGAAATGGGCTGGACAGCCGAGCTGGTGGAGGCCGAGGGGAAAGTGGCCTCATCTGAGCCTGCAGAGTCTGCTGGGCTTGGGGCGAGACCCTCCCTCCCATCGGCTGCTTCAGTTTCGTCTCTGCGGTGGCGGGTCTTCCCACTTGTCATCTAGGGTCATTTTAGGGTCACTCCATGTCATTTCGGTGAACTGAAACTACAGCTTGGGGTGTGTATTCTTGGGGATGGGGCGGGCGGGTCACCTCCTGGTAATGGGTCACACCATCACCACAGAGGTTCCTGCCTGATTCTCCCTCTGGGCTAGTCAGGCTTCCTCTGGTGCTCCTCCTTGCTTGGACAGTCCAGATACAACAGGGCATGTGGAGGACTGAGAAGCTGGTCCTTTGAGTCAGATGTTGTGGCTTCCAGGCTCAAGCTATTGACCACAGGGTTATTTTAAGCGAAATAACACCCTTGCTGGGGAGAGACTAGATGGGATGGGCCCTCAGGAAGGGCCTAGAAACAGAAGCTTTTGTGAAGGTCATGTCACCCCATTGGAAGCAAGCAGGGTAAGGTGGAAACCAGGCAGTGAGGGTCCCACACTCAAGTTGCTGTGACTCCGGGCATCCCTGTGCCTTGCTGACATGTAAAAGGCTTCCTGGGGTCCTTTGCTCGGGGTCTGAGGTCCCCAATCCTAAGCCAACAATAGGGGACAGGCTCTCTTCTTCCTGTGGTCCCAGGACAACAGTTGTGTTTTTGCCTGTGGTATATTTCTGTGACCCAGAAGCTAGATAAGAACTGTGCAGGGAGGCAGAGGGGGGAGGCGGAGGCTGGTCTCAGTAGGAAGAGTAACCACTGCGTGGCTGTGAAATTTTTAGACCCGTTCTTGTTGTCCCAAGGAATAGCAGCCTGTGTCCTGTCTCCTCACCAGAGTCTGATGGAGTTAGAAAGGCACTCACTTCTCATGTCCCCGTTGTTCCCGCCAAGAAGCTGCCGTCAAGGGAGGCTTTACTCGTGTGCAGAGACTGTCCCCTCAGTCTGGGAGGTCCGGGCCTCCAGCCTCTTCCTTGCCTAGGGAGACAAGCTGTGGGCACTGCAGCACCCATGGCCAAGGAGGGAGAAAGGCTGAGGGCCAGGAGATGGGGTTCTGGTGGCCATCCAGGTGAACCTGATGGAGCATTGTCAGGGCTGGGAGCTGGCTGTGCGCTCAGGCCTGGGGACCATTCACACTGTTCTCCACAGGCTCTGTTTTCCCACCCGCAGGCCTAAGCCAGGGCAATGCTGAAAATGGTGACCTTCTTCCAAGGGCTTCCTGGCCAACAGTCTGTGCCGGGGACCCTGGACTTCCCTGGAAGCCCCCCAAAGCCACGCTCCACATCTGAGGCGGAACCAGAGGCCTCCATGTCAGAGGCTTCTTCCGAGGACCTGATGCCATCCCAGGAGGCTGGGATGGCCCGGGATGGGGAGGAGGAAGAGTCTGCAAAGAAGGAGAAGAAGAAGTCCAAAGGACTGGCCAACATGTTCAGTGTCTTCACCAAAGGGAAGAAGAAGAAGAAAAAGGGCCAGCCCAGATTATCAGATCCTGAGGTCCAGCCCAAGTCCAGGCCGGAGCTAGATGGTCCACCGCCCACAGGTAGGCTGGGGTCGTAGCTGGGGCTGGAGTAGCATGGTAGAGTTGGTCCAGGTTTGGGTATGGTAGGGGCTCATAAACCACTCAGCTAGGACAGTGGGCAGGGGAGACAGCTAGGCGAGTGACTAGTCTAGGAGATGGGGTTCCCTGCTCGGGTCTTGTCTGGGGCATTGGCATCCTCCCTGGGAGCCGAGCCTCCTCTTGTCCCCGGTGGGTTTGTCGGCCTAAAGGCGGGTTTCTGCACTGCAGTGGAGGAGCTCAAGGAGGCCCTGGAGAGTGGGCGGCTGGAGGCCGCGTGGCAGGTGCTGGCACTGGAGCGGGAGCTGGAGGCTGAGGCAGCGGCGAGCCGCAGGAGCAACGAAGAGCTGGTGCGCCAGCAGAGCAAGGTGGAGGCGCTGTACTTGCTGCTGCGCGACCAGGTGCTCGCGGTGCTGCGGCGGCCGCTGGAGGCGGCGCCCGAGAGGCTGCGCCAGGCGCTGGCCGTGGTGTCACAGCAGGAGCTTGAGGATCGTCGGGCGGCCGGGGCACCCGTGGCGGCCGTGCTGGTGGCCACGCGCCCCCGGCGCTGGCTGCAACTGTGGAGGGACAGTGTGGCGGAGGTGGCGGCGGAGCGTCTGGACGCGCAGCCAGCCGTGGTGCCCGAGGGTCGCTCGGAGGCCGAGACCAGGTTCCTGCACATGGGCTGCACCATGAAGGAGGACCTGGAGGCGGTGGTGGAGCGGCTGAAACCGCTGTTCCCTGCCGAGTTCAACGTTGTGCACACCTATGCCGAAAGCTACCACGCGCACTTCGCAGCCCAACTGTGCACCTTGGCGCAGTTCGAGCTGTGTGAGAGGGACACCTACTTCCTGCTGCTCTGGGTGCTGAACCTCTACCCCAAGTGAGCTATGCCAGTGGATGGGATGGGTCTCCTCTGCGGGAAGGGTTGCTGAGACTCCAGAGGCAGACGTTGTTGAGCTGAAAACAGTGTCGGGGGGTGAAGGGAGAGAGTTGGGAATTGCACCCAACATTTTGGCTTTGTACTTCAGTTTCCTGGACCTTTGCCATTCTGCAGTTGGGGAGAGGGAGGCGCAGAAAAGGAGACTTCGTCATTCATTCCCAAGGAAGTCTCCGATCTGAACAGGGATGAAACAGAGCAGGAGGGGCTGTGACAGTCGCAGCTGGACACGGGGGAGGCCAGAGCACAGGGCTTGAGAGGACACCAGGTCTGGGGGAGTCAGGGAGTCTTCTGTATTGAGTCAGGCAGGGAGGGGACAGAACACACAAGGAAGAAGTGGTAGGGAGCTGATGGTAGGGAGTGACGTTCTGGGAGCTGAGCGGAGATGCTGTGTCATAACAACCCCTTGCAAGAGAGCTAGCAAGCGTGGAGCGGCACTAGGTGCCCCTCATGGGGCAATCTCTGTCAGACAGTATCACCCTGGTAGCCCACTGAGTTCTGGAGCCCCTCGGGTGAGAGGCTGGAGTATGCCAAAGGTGGGCAATTGGTACTCAGCTGGGCCCAGCCTCAGCATCCTTTGATTGGTTCAGACTCCGTGGATCCCCAAATGGGCCTGTCATCCACACCAGCTGGGGGAGAGTGACTTGTGTTACAGGGTGGAAATGTCCACAGCACTAGAGACCAGGGATCTGTACGGATTCCTCAGACCTGAGTGGATAGTCTACAGGAGGGAAGGCCGGGCGTATAGACAGTGTGAGCAGTATGTGAGCATCTTGGGAAGTGCTGAGCCAGCCTCCTGTGGAAGGGCCAGAAGGACACCAGAGGGGTGGTAGGTGAAGAGCCAGCGGGACATAGGGAAAGCAGGCAGGGACGTCCAGGGACAGCTGGGCCCTGACCCGGTTCCTGCTAGCTTCTCCTGACTCACCAGGAAATACCAGGCACTCATGCTCCCTCCCTGCCTGGTCACCTTCCTGCCCCTGTGATACTTAGGGGTC